TTTCTATCCAATTCTATTTAATAAATATAAATAATAAGAATTAATAGAAAGATTTTTTTATTAATAAAATAAATAGTGAAATATTATAATAAGTCAAACCTATTCAAAAAAGGTTAGATTTAGGACACCTACACTAACATGACTTTCTCTCATATTATGCCTTCGACTATAAGTGAGTTTATGATATTTATTCTCTCCAAAATTGGCGACCAAACAAAAGTTTCAACCTTTAGTTGAGTAAGGTTTAACTAATCATAAAGAACAGATTATGAGATCTTAAGTTAACAAATCATTATTAACTAGAAAAAAATATGATTTTATCGAATAAACACATTTGTTATCATAAGACCATAAAATTTGATTTTTTTTTGTCTCTTTGTGCGGATAAATTACAAAAAAAATCTCTAAAAGTGAATCTTCTTATTATTTCTCATTTAAATGAAGAGGCCTCCATTTGAATTTCCATAACCAATAAAATCCAATATCAAAAACTCAAATCTACAACCTTACATGATCCGTCCTCAATTGAAGCAAATAAAGTCGAATAAGGAAGACATAAAAACACCCACTCGTAAATCTTCCCAAAATAGAGTAGACTAGTCATCAACAATAACTTTCCTCATTCATTCATAAAATTCCATCCTTCACCAAAATATACTTTTCAAAAACCCTATCATTTATTCCCCACTAAAAATCCTTCTCCTACCAAAACACCATAAGTTATAAAAAAAAACCCTTACCTTATCCTAACATCTTCATCAACCTTTTAAAAACAAATAACCATCTTCCATTTAATTTTTAAAAGATTTCTAGATTGGATTAATTTGTGATCCTTAAAACAAAATTTCTTCAAACATGGAAAGGTGAATGACTTATTCATCGCTATAAAGAAAACTAAGTTAGAAAGAAGTTTTGGTTCCATAAAGTTTGAATCAAATTTACCTATCAAACAATTGTTAATCGAGTAATGAATGATATGAGTATATGTGGCAAGATTTAGTAAGAAGAACAACTTAGATTATAATCTAAGATCTCATCAAGTCGATAAGAGATAAGAGATAAGAGAAAAAAAATCATAATTTAGAAACTTAGCAAGAAGATAAGACAAAACATAAACAACCTCCGATGGAAAATGCCCGAAGATAGTTTAAAAATTATAAAAATGACACAATATAGTAAATGACAATAAAGTTAAGTTATGCATGCTACAATGTTTGAGCGTTATATTTTAGTTATTTTTCCTTAATGATTCATTTAGATATTATTTTCACTTTGATAATAATATAGGATAGCAACACATTTAATCTTCAAAATTATGACACATAAACATACATATAAGCCAAGAAAATAATTCATAAAAGGCTTTAAAAAGCAAAAAGCCTTAGAGGAAATGATAAAATACAAAATCTTTGGTAATACTTGCCAAAAATAAAGAAAGAGCTAACCATCTACTTGAACAATAATAGGAAGAAACAAACATGCATACTGTAAACAAAATTATAAGAATGCACATCTAAAGAGTTTTGAAAACTCATTCAAAAATTAATAGTTACGTGTCAATCTATAGATAAGGATAGATGATAGAGATTGATTGCATTCCTTACTTTTGTCTATACTCGAGTACTTACTAAAAAAATCCTTCTAGTTAATTGAGAGACCTTTCAATGATTTTGTTAATGATTAAAGAGGAGAGGAGTGACTTTATTAGGTTTTTGTAAGGAGTTTTTGTGTGTGAAAAAAAAAAAAAAGAAAGTGAACTTTGATGCTTTTCAAAGTACAAAGAATTGTGAAAAGTTAGGAATATGAAATTTTGTATAGATAAGGTTTTTATATAGACAATACTAGCCGATTGCCGTGCTACGTTGTGGGTTCGGTAAAACAAAATTATTTTAAAATTTTAAAATTCTTTATTATAATTGTTTCTAATGTTTTTGACAAATATTTTTGCTTAAAAAAAAACATAAATCATTCTTCTTTATGGATTGATTTTAAAATAAAAAATTATAATAATTTTAACTAAAATAATAATAATAAATAATTAAAAAACTTTAAAAACATCTTTTTCATAATATTGTATTCCAAAAAAATAAAGTTATAATTAATGGATAAACTTTTATAAAAAATTAACAAATGAAAATAAATTCTTATTTAATGCTAATGAGAAGAGTAATTTTTGATATTATCCACGAAACACTACAAGCGAATAGAATAAAATTATTTCAAAAATTTATAATTTTTTCATTAATTTTTTATTTAATTATAACTATTTTTTGTGTGTTTTTCATAAAATTTCTGCTTAAAAAAATGATTTATTCTTCTTTATTCATAAATTCTTAAATAAAAACTTATAATAATTGAAACCTAAAATATTAATTAAGAATTCAAAAAAAAATTTAAAATATATATCTTTTTATAAGAAAATATCCAAAAAATAAAGTTACAATTAATGTATAAAATTGCACAAAAATTAACTAATGAAAAAAAATATTCTTATTTAATTTTGGTGAGAAGATTATTTTTTTAAAATATATGCATTTGCTCTTTATATATTTATTTACAAAATAATCAACAAAATTAGCATAAAAAACCATATTTCAATAATTAGTTGGTTCCTATAAAAAATTTCAAATAAATTGGTTCTATAATGTTGAAAAAAATTCATAGTAAGCAATTTGTATTATGTTGGAAGTTGTATAGATAATTTTTAATAAAAAAAATGATTCAATAATTTTTTTTTAGACGTCTTAACCATATCTAATGAACTAAGATAAATTATTTAAAATATACTTTTTACCTTTTATAATATATATATATATATATATATATATATATATATATATATATATATATATATATATATATATATATATATATATATATATGCAACTATCATTTAAAAATTCTAAGAATTCATGATATATATTATAACAATTTATTTTTTAAAAACGAAAAGAAAATCATCTTTTAAATTTTTATTCTAAAATTCAAACATAGAGAAAAATAAATTATATTTATCAATAAATAAAATCTTTTATAAAAAAATATTAATTTGATGAAAAATTTCATAATATATATATATATATATATATATATATATATATATATATATATATATATATATGCAACTATCATTTAAAAACTCTAAGAATTCATGATATATATTATAACAATTTATTTTTTAAAAATGAGAAAAAAAAATGATCTTTCAAAATTTTATTCTAAAATTCAAACATAGAGAAAAATAAATTATATTGATCAATAAATAAAATATTATATAAAAAATATTAATTTGATGAAAATTTTCATAAAAAAATGATAAATTCAAAGAATGAAATTTAAATAATAAGAGGAATATAAGCTGAAGTATACGTTAATTTTAATATATATATATATATACACACACACACACACACACACGAGTGTGAAAATGAAAGAGAAATGAAAACCGAGGATTGGAAAAAAATATTATAACATGAGGGACGAAAATAGAAAAAAATGTTAAATTTGCTTATTAATGCCCAAAAACACATAAAAAAAAATCACACACAAAAATTGTTTAAATTGCCATTAAGTAAATAGTAATTTTATGCATACGAAGAGTAAGTAAATAGAAATTTTAGGCATATGAACGAGTTTGAATTTTCGCACTACGCAACAAATCGAACTAAACATATTTATTTCGGTTTGATAATATACATTATGTTGTCGATTAATTAAAATATATTAAATTAAATATAAGAAATAAAATTTCATATAATTTTATACTTTTTAATCAAAATTTTGTATCCATATAAATTTTTTTATGTTTTGAATAAATTTTGAAGTCAAGAAAATATGATTAGTTCTTTCTTATGCGTTTATTCTTAAATAAAAACCCACAATAAACAAATTTTAATATAAATTTAAAAAAAAAGTCTTAATATTTTTCTTATAACATTGTATCGAAGAAAGAAAGTAACAATTAATATAAAAACTTGTATGAAAGTTAACAAATGAAGCTTTTTTTACCGATGAGAATATTGTTTTTTTAAATATGTACATTTCATTTATATATTTTTATTTATAAAATAATAAATAATATTAGTATATAAAATTGTATTTGAATTATTAGTTAGTTATTCTAAAATATTATTTAAATTATTTTATTTGAAAAATTAATTTTAAAATATTAAAAAATAATAGCAAATAGTTAGTATTGTGTGTATAGATATATAGTTGATTTCTAATAAAATTAATGACTATAATATTATTATTTTTTATATATCATGACCGTACTCAATGGGTGAGAATGTATAGCATAAATTGAAAATACAAAAGAAAATTAAATTATAAAATATAGATTGAAGTTAATAGAGTACAATAAAAACTATAAAATTGATTTTGATAAATTTGATTATATAAAAAAATAAGAAAATAAAATATATATATTCTATTTTTAAAATTTGATTATATAAGAATTAAGTAAATAAAAACAAGTATAAAAAAAGCTTATTCAAATCAATACATAGAAAGAATAAATCATATTTATTAATAAATAAAATTATATAAAAATAAGAATAAAAATTAACTTGATGAGAATTTTTATAATAAATCAAAAAAATCAATTTTAAATTATAAGAGTAGTATATATTTATTCTAAAATCTAAAAACATATCGTATATATTATATAATCGTTAGTTTATGTGAAAAAAAGTAATGATTAATTTTTTAAAATTTTAACACCCACTTAAATAAAATAATATGAAAAAAAGAAAAGAAAAAAAAAACTTAAGCTATAATAAATGAATAGTTACTTGTGAGATAATGAACAGAAAATCCTCACTTCTTTTGGTTTCTTTGTAATATTGATGACAATACATTACAAATTGCATGACAGAAAAAATAAGACAGCACATTGTCTTAATTTACATATTTTCTGACACTAAATGGAATGATTTGTCCTTCTAAAGTGACCAATAGAAAATTTGGATATTGTAGCTGATGTGATAAAAAAAGGCGACTGAAGTGTGCTTTGATTTAGTAAGGACTCCTCTAGTCTTCTTGAGATCATGGCCGCCCAAGCCTTTGGGTGTAGGTATCGGTACGGGTTCCAATAGCACAACCGGAGCGTTCTGGGGGCATAGAGAGCCCCTATTCTTGATGTATGATGATGTCTATCCTTACATGGGTTTCGGTTTATGTCAGGTTTGCCTTTGTTTGGCCCCACCATTCATCCCCAGTGTATCAACACCAATCACTGCCATGCCACCTGGTTATCCCTCATCGAAACTCCCTGTTCAGCTGAGGGTCGGCTACGCCCTTTGCTTCGCTAAGAATACACATCAGAACTATGATGGTTGTTGAGTTAATGCGTTTCCCTTTTAATGCTTAACGTTCTTTTCATTCATTTCCGGAAACTGCGTGGCATGAAGCAAATACGGTGGATTTATAGCTGAGAAACATGTGAGTGCTGTAAGCTCTACACGTGGTAAGCATCATCACTGGGCAGAGTGTGATGGGTATACCCCAAAACAGTGGTGGTCACCGTCCTCTCACCTCTAGGTTTTTGCATTACGATAAAAAGGTGCAAAAACTCACCTGTTACGATCTCCGAAATGGGAAAAGCATTAAATTGGCAATTATATAGCTCGTGGGAGCCTCTTGCGTGTATACTATAAATTGAGTCTAGGAGTGATTTTAACATAATATATATATTAAAAAATTATTATGAAAATAAAAAGAAAAAAATTATTAATCTATTTTTATTTAGCTGATATAGGCATATAAAAAAAATTTAGTACAGTTGTCAATAAAGAATATTTAGGAAAAAAAAAAAGAAAAAAAGGAGAGATTTAGTTATCTTTTAGAGCAATTCTACACTAAGAAAATAAGAATTTTTTAGTACACAAAATATTGAGTTTTTTTTAATATTGATTTTTTGATATTACGATCATAGAGAATTACATTCTTTTAGAGTGGTGAGCTAACATAAAATTGATTTTAAGTTTTTATGATGAGGCTAATTTAGTTTTAAAAAAATAATTTTTTTATTATTAACATTTTTACTTCAAGTTCACAGGGGAAAAAAAACTTGAAATTTATATATTTTTTTTAATTATAGTAAATTATTTTAAAATTAGTTCTTTAATTTTTTTCTTTACGATAAAAAGCAATTTCCATATAAATTTACTATTTTTGTAATTATCCTTTTACAATCGATTTATTTAATATTTTTAATTATTGTATGTTGTAAAACAATCATCTCACCTAAAAGCTTAAAATATTAAGTGAAACCTCAAAATATGATTTATATTATTTTGTAAAATATTACATTATGTCAAAAGACCTTCTCAACCGAAAGATTAAGTTGTTTAATGAGACTTCAATATATGATTTATATTATTTTTTTAACATGTATTAACTTGATTATTTTCTCCCCTAACCTAATTATACAAAATAGGGATTAAAATCCCAACACTACCTACATACAATCACAACACAAGTGAGGTCTGATCTCACTCCAATGGAACTGTAACAACATTAACGCCCACCTCACAAAATTATGGTATTAATGTCTCTGCCAGAGAAAAACAAATTATATATATATCAATGAGGATGACCGTGCTATTGGACACAATAGCATAACAAAAATTTGTTATTCATGTTCTCCATTTATAATATTTAGTAAGATAGGTGATATCAAAGATGGATGTTTGAATGGTGATTTTAATTTTGAGCTACTAAGTACCGGGCGTAAAACAAAAAACAGTATTAAGAATAAGAACAGGACATGCATAAAATCACAAAATCTGGCCAACCCAAATTAATTAAAATTAATACCAAAAAGGGGTTAATTAACTGGAATGCAAGGAGGCATAATGTTCTAGATAAAAAGAAAAGAAAGAAAAGAAAAATCAAACGATACATGTGTCATGTGTGAATCCTAATCTCTTCCACGCAAGACCAAGACTCAGGTAACGTGTGACTAAAGTAAAGAAGTTTCCTAGAAGCGAAAGATGAAACAAGAGCATCAAACCTTAAAAGGGTCACATTTAGGTGGATCAAATTAATCCAGTTTCACTAAGTATGTGTCACCTCATACCTCACCTTCTCAAAAAACTTAAAATTTTATTATAAATTTATTTTTGTGTCACACCCACCAATCACCACCTGTACAGATTACAGCCTCCACCTTTCTAAAGTGCGTATTCCTCTGCCTCTCTCTTTCTCCATCTAAAGTTTTCTGCCATTAATTTTCACATCCACAAAGTCACAACCAACCACTCAGTCCCCACACATCTATATATCTCAAAGCACCCAACATCTCCCAATTGTTTTAGTTCCAACCAAAAACCCCAATCCACTCTCTCTCTATCTATCTCTGTCTCTCTCTCTCTAAAAACTAAGAACCCAGCTCCAAAACAGGGAAATTTTTAGAATTGCAATTTTCTTTGTCATTAAATTTAAGCAAAGACAGCTCCAAAATGCAGGCAAGTAGTCCTCTAATCACCCTTTCTCCAAGCTCTCCAAGCTTCAATTCCTACTCTTCAAACAAACTAGCAGAGATTGCAGCAAGAGTCGTCCAAGAATTCACAAACGATTCAGAACTACCAGAAGACGCTAACAATAGCATTTTCTCTTGGCAAGAACAGCAAGGAGAAGGAGAAAAAGATCAAGAAAACAACCATCAAAACGACAACGAATTGGGCGAGAACGAAAACGAGGAGGATGATGACGACGACTTCGAGTTTGCAGTTCTAAGTAAGCCAGAACCACATTTCTCTCCAATTTCAGCTGATGACATCTTTTACAACGGCGAAATCAGACCCTTCTATCCGTTATTTAATACCAAGTTACTTTTAGACGACCAAGAATCCCTACCCAAATCCAAGACCGCAACTGATACTCAAAATACTAAGAAACCAAATAGATTACCCCTCAAGAAGCTCTTCTACGAGGAGCGTGAAACGTTTTCGTGTTCTTCATCGGAAGCTGACGATATTGACAGTGCAGAGCCTGGAACTTACTGTGTGTGGACACCAAAGAAGGAAGAGGGGTCCTTTGGGAGCTGCAAGAAGAGCAGCTCTACAGGGTCTAATTCAAAGAGATGGAAGTTTAAAGATTTGCTTCACAGGAGTAATAGTGATGGTAAAGATACTTTCGTGTTCATGACGCCTAATAACAAGAAGAGTACTGGCGGCCATCAGAGATTTGGTAGTGATGATCATGATCGTAATAATAATAATAATAATAATGAGAGTAAAGAGGGCAAAGAGAAAAGGAAAGAAGTGAAAGGAGCCGGAGGTTTGTTTCGATTTCAAGAACAGTATTATATGAAGAGTAAAGAAGGAGATAAACGCCGGTCGTATTTGCCTTACCGGCCGGATTTGGTGGGGTTTCTGTCTAATGTTAATGGGGTGGGCAGGAATATTCGTCCATTCTGAGACGTGACAACAAATTTTGGGTGTTTTTTTTTTTGGTCCCTCCCGTAGTAGGGAATTATGGTTTCCAATGTTCATAGAATGATGGGATTTCAATTTTGTGTACATATAATTAAGGTGGTATAATAGATATTTTTTGGTACTTATTTGTTTGATATCATTGAAAGCTCACTTCAAGAGCAATTGAAATTGAAATCGATTTGTACATTTTCATTTATGTTTGGCAATCTGAGAAGTCAATGGCTAATATTAATAAACAAATAGAGAGAGAGAGAGAGAAGGGAAAAAAAGGAAAAAAAGAAAAAGAAAAAGAAAAAGGTCCGTGTTCCTTCTTCCCAGCTTCTTGATGATAAGTTCATGTCAATCTAACATCTATGCATTGTTTGTTCCATCTTCTGACAACTGGGACAATAGCGTGTAAATAGAATATTTCTATACTCATCGATTTATTGCTGACTTTAGAAAATTATGTCTCTTACACGCACGGTGTAGATGCCGACCTAATTTCGTTGTGACACTTTTTATGGATGAACAACTTGCGCTGGGTTTACCAAGAAGTAAGAAGGTCCTCAAGGGCAGCCAGACAAATAGCGCGCCCACCATTCACATTGTAATGCAGAGGGTTAGGCTCATTGCATCTTGTATTCTAGAACCCAACATTTGACCTTTATTTTCCATATCATCACGATTTTGTTTTGATTTTTCAATATTGTACCAATACTCGTATGATGGAAAAACTCAATATTGGACATGGTCTAAGGTTGGTATGTTGGTTTCCTTCGTCTGGTTATTAAATCTTACTGCTGGAAGGATGTGCTATGAGAAATCAAATTATATTTCTCACCTGTTGAAAGTTGCTTCTTTTAAATCCAATTGAAATATTTATATATATAATTCAAAATATGTGAATGGGCAATAGGAAGAGTCGAATGCAAGCTTTTGTCCATTATGCATGATAAACGTTTTGAGTGGCTCTGTCTTCCTTTTGGCTTGTTTGTTGAATCGAAGCATGCTTTGCCCAATTAATCATTGTTTTAAGTAGCTTTAATTAAAAGTTTCCTTGCAAGCCAAAATTAGGTATCTGATTTCAAATATTAAAACAAAATTTCGCTTCTTGTATTGTACGTATTCTATACAGCATCACATCATTATAAGTTGACAATTAGAAATCTCTTTCGTAAGCTGCTTTCATATTAGATTTAGCTGGTTGATGTGATGGAATGGAAGCAGGCAAGAGTAAGCTGAAAAGATAATTGTAAGTTAGCACTAGTTAAATTAATGGTTTAGTTTTGAGCAATTCTAATGAGAAATTTATGGTAGACAATCTCATGTCAAATGTTAAAAATCTAACACCAGGGGCTTGCAATTTGCAAATGCTGAGGAGCTGTACTGCCTGTGACAATGCACTTATGAAATGAAAGGAAGCCAATAACCTCAAAGCAGCAACATTTTCCGGATAATCATACTATTGGTACATCAATTTAACTTCTTTTTTATTCATCAATTAAGTAAATAAATTTTTTTATTTGAATATATCGATTTTTTAAAAAAAAATTAATTAATTAAGTGCTTTTGTCTAACTTATAATAATTTCTTCCCTTTTTGATGTGATGTCCTTTAACTCTTACTAAACAAAAGTTATAATACTGATACATCAACTTCAATTTTTTTTTTTTTTTTTTTTGACTGAGTACAAGAATTTTGATTATTTTATTTTAATACATTGATGTTTTTGCTGTACCAACCGAGTACTTCTATAGATAACCAAAAAGCTTGATGTGATGTCCTTTGACCCTTACTAAACAAAAGTTGTAATACTGATGCATCATCTTTAATTTTTTTTTTCCAATTCAATACATAAATTTTGATTATTTTATTTTAATACATTGATGTTTTTGTTGTACCTACAGAGTACTTCTATAAATAATTAAAAAGCTTATAACTAAGTAATAATAATTTTTTACAAAAATTCATAAATTTAAATCTTAACAGACAATGTTAGTTCAATTATTGAATGTACCTACAGAGTACATTTCACGTTGATCTTAGAGTTGCATAAACAAATCTGCAACAAGTTGATGAATAAACATTTGTTGCAATTATCTTGTTAATTAGTGAAAATTTAAACTTTTGGACAGAAATATTTTGTTGATATATAATGTTAGATTTTTTTTTATTGAAGTAATTAAGAATTTAAATCTTATCATTTTTAATTTTTTTATTATTAAAATTTAATGAGATCTCACCTATTAAATTAAACTCATATACACATATATAAATACGCCAACTTCAAATAAGTTGGATTTATTGTATAAAACAAGACATGTAAGAAGCAAAAATCATTGAATTAAATAAATAAAAGAGATGGGGAGTTTGATTCCTTGACAAGAACATCACAACCTTCAATGATTCTAACAAATTAACCACACATTTTCGATTTGATTAAAGAAATTTCGACGTTTGTGGTATATGGAATTAAAATGGAAATTTCTCCGAGGCTGAGTGCCCAGAGAAATTTGAGAAGAAAGAGAGGTGTGATAAATGTGAACACGTACGCTAATTTAAGCATGAGGCCTTGTTACACACTTCGTCCGACTTTCCAGTCTATTTCTATTAAATGCTGCAACGCTATACATAGCATACTTTTCTATCCAATATTTAAGAGATCGAGCCTAATATGTTAGTCAAACAAATATTGCCTCAACCTCAACCTTCTTTTCAGATCTACATTTATTTTGGAACCTTTCTCATTTCTTCCTGAATTAATTGTGATTTGTGAACGGAGAAATCAAAATATAAGTGCTCAAATTAATAATACAGATGCAATATTTAGAATATTAAGATAATACTAATGTAGTGATGGAAAATGTGTTCTTGGAATAATGTAGAAAGAAGATTTAGAATTCACACACAAGCTAACCAAGGATCCACTACAATGAAGTGGACTCGTGAATTCGATTCCACAAAGACAAAATTAATATTAGTAAAAGAATTAAAGTGAAAAGGATTGATTACTATTTATTATATTATTTAAAATATTATTTATCTAGATTCATTCGTATTTTTTCTTTTACTATATAGGGATATTTTTATAGTTTTTGAATATTTTAAAAATATTTATTATGAAAGTTTTTTTAATATTATATTTTGATTTTTTTTACATTATTTTTTGAGTTTACAAATATTTTTTTATATAATTTTAATTCCTCTTTTTGTTTAATTTTAATCACTTTGGTCTTTTTTTTCTCTGATTTTTTAATTAAAAATTTTAAGGAAAAAAATATTTATAAAAAACAAATTACAAAATAAGTTTTTAGTTAAAAATTCATTTATTTTCACATTTTTATACTATTATAAATTTTTTAGTTTGTGGATAAAAATAAATAAATAAAATTTAATAAAAAATTATGAAAAATATAAAGAATAATCAATTAATTTTGATTAAAAAATTATAAAATTGAATAAATTATTATTCATTTTTTACTTGATATTTTTAGGTATATGAGTTATAAAATTACTGTCCCCTAAATTCTTAATTACTTCAATAAAAAAAATCTAACATTATATATCAGCAAAAATTTTCTGTCCAAAAGTTTAAATTTTCACTAATTAACAAGATAATTGCAACAAATGTTTATTCATCAACTTGTTGCAGATTTGTTTATGCAACTCTAAGATCAACGTGAAATGTACTCTGTAGCTCTGATAAAATTTTTAGGTATATGAGTTATAAAAAAAGTACTTCTATAAATAATTCATTAATTTTTTATTTATTTTGGAATCACCTAATTTCTTTTCTTTTTTTGGCTAAAATAATAAAACAATTTAAGGATATTAATAATATATTTATTAGTTTAAATTAATTAAAAGTAGTTTCCAGTTTCGGCGTAAAATGTAGATTGTTTAATATTAATTAAAAGAATTCTAAAATTGATGTGCTACAAGCATAATTATTCTCAATATTTACTGTCCCCTAAATTGGGCCTCCCACATGGTGCCAATAGGTCTTGGTCTTGGTGTCGGTCTCAGCCTTTTGTCATATCGTAATCGTCCCAATGCCAATCCCACTCCAAAAAGCTTCCAAAGATATATAGAACCTAGGAAGATGTGTAAAGTGAAAAGAAGGATTTCACCGTCTCCTCCTTCCGGGTAAAGTGGTAGCTGATGAAATCTGAAAATGCAAGTGTTTTGTCAAAAAAGAGGGAAAAGGTACGCGTTTAATCAAACCCTGAACTGGAAACTACTAGCAAATTTAAAAACTAAAATGACTTCAAATCAGTGCTAGGATATAGAATTTTTAGATTTTACGTTACTAAGTAGACAAATGACCCTAGAACATGGAGAGGTGCTAAACTGCTAATGACCAATATTTCCTACAAGCGTCCCCATAATTCACTCTTTATCTGCATACACAAGAATCAGAAAAATATCAATCAGCGTAAGAATAACAATTAGGAAAAGCTAAACAGAAACGAATTGTGGTGAGCTTTATACCAAGTAGATCTTCTACCAGCCCCATAAAACTAATAAAGAATTCGAAAATAGTAACTGAGAAGGAGCAGAATAATATCTGGTCTTGGCCTGTGGGGAATTTCACAACCTCTCTTTTACTTCTTTTGAAGCATACGATGCCTTACTGGCACTTACAGGTATCTAATATTTCTTGGGTACCTAACCAAATCAGCATTGAGACCTCCTACCGTAACTTCCACATTATCCCCACACTATGAAGAACCTCTTTAGCATTTCCAGCTTTTGCCTTCTTTCTTAATTTTTTAAGATGCTCGCATTTCCAAGAAACTTCTATTGAAAATTATTGTTTTTACAATATAGAATTTAATATTAGCAAAATAATCACTTTATAACCTACTAGATATATTGTGTTACTGTTTGTGTGTGTGTGTGTGTTTTTTTTTTTTTTTTAGGGGAATGGAAATACTAATGCCAGTTGTGCTATAGTTCATCGACAGCTAGGCATGTTCATGCATGTATGAGCAAGTTTTATTCAATTATTCATTCATTATTACAAGATCTTTTCATGTAAGTCTTACATAGCTGTGAGCACTGGCCAAATCATTTCTTTATGAGTACAAGATCAGCCATATGCCCCAATGTATACTAGTTCAAGAATCTAGTTAGAAGAGGTTATAATATTAATTTTAATCACTAAAATCTTGAGTCAACACTGATGCCTAAATTAGGCTTCGTTCTCATTACTGCATTTATATATGATCCTGAGCCTGTACATGAGAATGTAATGGATTTTGTCAACATGCTACATGATTCTCTGACTTCTTATTCTTCGAGGTAACCAGCAAGGTGGCCCTTTTCTTTTGAAATTTGGATAAAATTCTAAGGTGCATGTATATTTTGGGGTCACGGTCTGTATAGCGACTGTGCCATTATATCAATTATTCTCCAAACAATATTCTGAAAAATATAGTTTGCATCAAAGATTTCTGGAAACTTGTATGCTTAGATATTTTATCCTTTTGATTGATTTTTGTAGGGATTCCTAATAAATAGCTGGCCATGTTGACACAAACCCCACTTTTCTCTGAAAATGGCAGACCAAGTTTATTTCCAGTGTCCTTATCTACCTGCACTATTTAACTATTTGCAAGAACACGTCTTTAAAGCGGAAAAGACAGAAAGGAGAGCCTGCTTTCCTAAACGCCATATAACTGAGCTTTCACATAAACAATATGCGAAGGAAAATTAATAAGACGATTAAATGCTTGCTCGGAGTATTTCTAAGCAAGTGTATAGAATGTTTTTCCACAAAAGTGGGACCCAAAGTCAAGACAATGTGTCTGTTTCGGGGTCAATAGGGCTAAAGGTTTTGAGTGATTTGCGTAACTCTATTCCGTTTCTAGAACAAAGAGACGGGGAAAGGTCCATACTGTGATACTAAAGTCATTGGTTTCATACATTAATGGTCTCATATTCACATTGTCGTTTCTTCAAAATGTTCAAATATATCACGAACCAGTACACACATTCAATTTATTCTGAAGAGAGAAAAATTATAGTAGTGAGTATTTATCCACTGCAAAAGCAAGTCACACCATTAGTAGGAAGATATAATAGATATGAAGCATGCATATACCAATTGCATTGGGTTACTTCAAATTGACTATGATTTATCAAATAGTTTTATCACATTTGTGTAATTATTTAATTAAAAAATTAGATGCAAAATAAAAATAATTATATCACCAAAATTGTTATTAAAAAATTTAGTTAAAATATTGTCTTTTTTATATTTTATTTTAACCAATACATCCATGTTCTCTTATAAATACAATTATATTGCCGCATAATCGATGAACTTGCCAACTCGATCATATTGAGTTGACAATCCAAAACTAGTCTAGAAAAAATATGTTTTGATCATGAAAAGAATTCAGTATCTAGAACCCCCTATCTTCTTCCAACAAGGTTATAGAATCTCGGGGCTCCTTTTGTTTCCGCGTAGCTCAGGAAAGCAACTTGGCCGGGATTTTAAATTTAAGCTGGAGTTGGAGAACAAAATATTAGGTGAAGCCTTGTTAAAGAATGCTCAAACGTAGTGCGGGGAATTGATGGACTTTCCTAGGAACAACAATGTCGTAGCCCATACTCTGGAAAAAGTGGAAACTCAAGATGATTTGTAATCTGCATAGAGGAGCCTCCTCATGTTTAGGTGCGCTTTTTCGGAAGGATTTATCCCCAGTTGCTACATCAACCAATCAATCAATTATTGTTTCTGATAAAAATATAAAATAAAAATAAAACATAGAGGACTCCCATGTGGTTGACATCCTTACTAGCAAATCAAGAAAAAAGAAAAAAAAATATATATATATATATAGTCAAATTAAGCCTTTACTTTATACGCAATCAAGGAAACCTATTTAAGATTACTTATTATGAGATTAATATCAATTATTTCGGATTTGGGGCTATAAATATAACTATTTACTTTATGTATATTACTAAAATGAGATACATTATACATGTGGAAAAAAAAGGCAATGATCATGTCATATTAAAATATAATTTGGTTTTTGGCCCAATAAATTATAAGGAAATTCTTCAATGGGTTTTTCTTCAAAATAATTTTTCTTCTTGACCTCCTTGTGGATTGACTTCACTTAATCTCATTTCCTAGTTGATTCCTATAGAAACCATATCCAGTCTAAGGTCCATCACTAACTCACGATCCAAAAGCTTGAACCAAATGAAATAAATTAGAAGCGTTCATAACAACAAAAGCTGGTGAAAGACATGCATGACATAAACTCTTAATAAGATTGAATGAGAATTATAGCATCAATAAATACATGATCTTGACATTTAAAAAGAATGTAGGATATTTCAACACAAGAATAGTAGAATTACTACAAGAAACATGATACATTGCAGCATAAAATAATAAAAATAATAATAAAGACTGAAGAAGAACATGGAGCAGCACCAAATGCATGGCTAAATGCAGGAGAACGTGATCTACTAAAAAAATTATGAAAGAACAAGAAGTATGTAAATATTAGCTGCAGTAGGAGCAAATAAAACACAATACAACACCAAAGCAATTCAACTTGCAAATTGCAAACAAGTCAATGAGCACTTTTTCAAGTTTCAGTAAACTTGAAATTTGTTAAACTATAACTAATGGATAGTAATTTATAAATAGTAATCTATAAACAGTAATCAAATAGTTTGACAATTCATAGGCTGATAGCTGGTTTATGGTTCTCATATTGTGTATGCAACGATTGTAATCTTTAGTTTTAGCAAGAGTATTATGTCTAGAGTTTCGAGCTGTAAATATTCAATATTGTTTATGAATGCAAGTTCTTTCTTTTTAGCTTAAGTATTGTAAAGACTGCAATAGTTTAATTCTGATTCACTTTTTGCTAAGGATTTTAAGTTTGTAGTTTCGAGTTATGGTTAATATTACAACCTTGCTTTCTTAATATTTTAATTATTTAATCTTTTATTTTTTTAGTTTGAATTCATTATTTTGATTTCTTATTAGTTTAAAATTTTGAAATATTAGTTTAACATAGTTGTGGTTGTAAATAATTGTCCTTGTAAACTTACAATCCAACTTGTTTGGATAGATTATAAGCTTTTTCTATGAATTTATAAACCGACCGCAATTCATTAATTTAGCTTTATATTAAGATAAATATCAAAAACATAACTAAAACGAGCGAGAGATTTAACACAATCAATTAGGTTCGTTTGCTTTCAAGCCTAAAAGATAAATTGTTTTAAAGATGACTATTTAATTATCTTTTTATTCTTTTTCAAAGTTCTTTTAATTGAGACGGGCATAAAAGAACTTGGAAGCGAACCCTCACCTGCCTCTACCACTAAATACCACTTAAGTATATGCACATAAATTTTGAATATATATATACACGCAAAGATTAATAGATCAAACAAATAGGTTCATGGCAGGTAAGAACTTACGCAAAGCTATTTACTGTCAGGGTATGATTTCTTACTAGGACATTATCAATAACTTTTTCTTTTAGCAAGAAAAAATAAATAAATAAAAAATCGATGGGTTATATTAAAGTTTTCAAAGACCAATAAGTTTAATTTTAAATTTCTTTCCAAATAAGTTCAATTCGATTTGTACTTTCCCTTTTTTTTTTTTTTTATAAGTGATTTCGTACTTTCTCAAATAAGTTTAATTTGATTTGTACTCTCTCTCTCTCACACACACATTGATATTCTGTTGTACTTTTTAGACCCCTTTTAAAATAAGAAACTATCCATTTATTATTAATTGTTTTACTTTTTATTATAAAACTTATTAGATTTGGCTTAATTTATTACCTTTTAAATAGATTATTCGATTATATTATGTATAATTTTCATCATTGTTTCACACTTCAAATACTTTTCTTTTCTTTTCTTTTCTTTATAAGTTTTGTATCTTTTTGTTAAAAAATTTGCATATTCCACAATTATAACATATATTATATACACCATAAAAAATGCATTAATTAAATTATTTTAATGATGCAATTGAAAGAATGATGAGTTATTAAAGCGTACGATAAAAGTTGAAGAATCTATTAAAAAAAGAGAATAAATGAATAAAGATTCAAATCTATAAGTCTCTTTGAAAAAAATATAAAACATTTAATAATAAATGAATAATTCATATTTAATAAGAGGATATTTTAAGAAGTAAAAAAACAAAATTAAGCTTCTTTGGGGAAAGAATTTGGAAAAAGAATTCAAATATTAATAGAACTCATTGGTGTTTTGCTTACCAAAGTGAACTTATGGATAACTTTTTTTTTCTTTGTTTTGATTTTGTTTTAAGAAAACTTTTAAAAACTATTAATTACTTTTAGAGATGACATAGAAAATTGTTGTTTAAAATTAGTTTAATAAATATAAAAACATATTATTGTCTAAGGAATATTAAATAAAATAGTAGTAATGGTATGTTACATATAAGAGTAAATTGTAAATTATTCCTTTTGTTTTGAAAAATAAATTAAATAGTCCTTCTAGTTTTAGAAAAATAATTAATTAGTTTGTTAATCAGTATTGACCATTCTTAAATTAATATTATTTTATTCTAAAAAGCATCTTCTTTTATCATTAATCTTTCCATATTGTCTACTTTTTTTCTCTATTTTTATTTCTTATAAAAAAATAAATTAGAAAAGAATATTAAATGGTCAAAAAGGATTAAGTCACAAATAGATTAAAAAACATAGAGAATAATTAATTAGTTTTTGAAACTAAAGAGATTACTTAATTTGTTTTGCAAAATTAAAAGGATTAATCTATAATTACAAAAGAAAGTAAAATAAGTGATGATTTCATTGTTTGATTCCTGTTCATCCTCACCCATTTAATTGTGGATTGTGATTGTGGTGCACTATTCTCCTTCAATTTAGCCATCCATTTCTTGTAGTCTCTCTTTGACTATCAGTCTGTCGTTCATTTCCTCCCATTATTCCACCTTCTTTCATTTGTTTATGTTCCCACTAAGTTTGTGCCCTTTGGTTGTTTTTTTTTTTTTTTAATTGCTTGAATGCCATTTTGTCCTCCTACTAACTTGCCATTCTGCCTTCTTTTGCTTGGTCTCTCTTGCCTTGCTTTTTTGGAATTTTTTAACGGTTTCCTCCTTTTCTTCGGAGCATTTAATGCTTTGTCTTAGGATTTGCTTCTTTTTCTTGGTAATTTCCTTTCTGCCACTAAAATAAAGGCCTTTTCGTTCATTCTTCCCTGTGACTTCTCTTTTCTTTTGTATCTTATCCTTTCCCATCCTTATTCTTCCCCGACAAGAACCACCGTATAATAACTAGTACTCGCTAAAAATAAAATTAAATAAAAATTAAATATTTAAAAACATATGAGATATATTTTAAAGATATAAAGTCGTTCACAAAGATTAGAAAAAATATTCAAAATAGATAAAATAGTCATTTTATGCCCAATGAATATTTTATTGATTTTACGATTCATGAATAGTAGTTTTTGTATGAAACAACTAATTAAAGCATGTTGTTTAAGCATGAAAAATAGTTTGTGTGCTTAGAATAATTGTTAGAGGGGTGTTGAATTATTTTATGTACTTGGGTGAATTTTATTATGTGCTATGAATATTTTATTTGAATTTTGATGTGTTGGAATAGTATTTTTAGAGAAAAAGAATTTAATTAGGCACCTTAAGAGTATGAGAAATTTTTTAAGAGCATAGAATAATCATATGGGAGGTTTGAGAGTTCCTAGAAAATTTAAATTAATTTTATTAAGTATAGGGAATATTTTTAATATAAAAAACGGTGTGAATTTCACACTAAATAATTAATTTAGAGGCTCAAATGAGGTCCAAAAATTATGAAAATTTAAATAAAATCCCTTAATAAATATTTTAATTAATTATGAAAATAAAATGGATTTTTGAAGAGTATAGTGTGGAATTTTAAAAGCGGGGACTAAATTGCATAAAATTAGGGACTCAATTGCATAAAATTAAAAGTTTAATAATCCAAATTAAATGATGTAATAATGTTAAGGTTCAAAAATTAGTCATAGAAATGGAAAAGGGAGGATTAGAAGTGAGTTTTTGCATAAAAGAGGGATTTAGGAAAGAATAGGCTATGGAAAAGTCTAGAAACTTGGAGGACCCAAATTTGTCATTTTCCTTCCAAATTTCGCCAACCTAGAGAATTAATTAATTCTGACTTCCAGGAAAAATTATGGCAAAAAATAATGAAGTTGGAAGGGTTAAATAACAAGATGAATAAATGGCTAAAAATTAGGATAAATGCAAATGAATGATTGGAAATTGAATTAAGAGTCGAGGTTTTTCCCAATTAAGGGTGGAGATGAGGTCAATGATTTCAAAAACTTTCATATAAATAAGGGTGCTGGAAAAATAAAAAGGGGAGAAAAAATTGAAAAATACAAAGGAAACTCTTACAAAATTTCTACTAAAAAATTACCCAAAATAATCCTAACCAATTTTAGACCCTCTAAATCGAGTGGATTAAGCTTCAATTTCGAGTTGGGAGCTGAATACCTTCAAGAAGAAAAGTAAAAGAGC